TAGACATAGAAAATTTAGGCCGATCCTCATTTCTTCCTTTTTTTCTTTTTTTTTTAAACCTTTATTGCTGATCCTTTATTAATCTCTTGTTGATTTTTTAGTGCTCTCTCTGCAGTGCTCCATCTTTATTCATCTTGAAAGTTCTCTAACATCTAAAATTACTGACCACTTCTTGCTTTTGAAACCCTCCCCTTCCTTGTGTTCTCTGGTACTACAGTCCTGATTGTTTTCAGTCTCTACCATTTTTGTTGAGTTGTTCTCATTACGACTATGCCCAACAATTTAGCCCAAGACACTTGTGCTCTGCCCATATTCCCTCTCTTAAAGACTATCTATTTTAATTCCCCCTCAAAAATCACCACATCCAGCTATACATCTACAACTGCCTCTATCAGGGTGTTCCATTGCCACCTCAAATGCAACATGTCTGTAGTGGGATTGCTCTTTGACCACACACCGTATTCCCTTTGGGGCGCCCCTCTTTCTGTCAGAGGCATCATTATTTCCATAGTCACTTAGGCTCAGAAACGAGAAGTCATCCTAGATTCCTCATTCTTTCCGTCTCTTTGTATTAAGCCAGTCACGGGCTGAGTTCCTCCTTCACAACATCTGTTATATCTACCCCTCGTGTTCCATCCTTATTGCTGCCCCACACCTGTGGGTCCTTATCATCATTAGCCTTGGTCATTATTAGCTTTCCTCTTCTAGCTTTTCTCTTTGCCTCCATCCCTCCTCACTGCAATCCTACATTGATCTCCTTGAAACACACGTCTGTACCTATCAACTACTTGTTCAAAAAGCCTTTACAAATAGTTATAATCCAAAGAATTGAGTCTTAACCGCTTAGCCAAGTCAGAACCTTCCATACTCCATTTATTCCCAAACTTATTTCCTGGTTCTCCCCTATGAAAGATCCTTTGCCTCACTGCTCTGTTAACTAGCCCTTGAACATATCTTAACCTCTTAATCTTTTTCTGTTTATCTAAGCCCTACTTTTTCTTCAAGGACCAGTAAAGTCCTAATCCAAGTTCCGACTGATCTTACTCAAAACAGATTTTTCCTTTCTCTCACACTTCTTGTAGCACATCATTTCCTCCATGTGTATCTTGTATTGTAATTTTTCATCCTTTCATTTATTCATTCATTATTGCAACAAAATGTATTGACCATCACTTATGTGCCAAACACTGTGCTAGACACAGGCTATACAAAGACGGATAAGACATAGTTCCTAGCACTGAGGAGTTCATGATCTTGTTCATTTTGACCAGGTGGAATATAAAATACTCAAGGGCAGAAACTGTCTTATTCCTCTTTGTATTTCCAGTACTAGTCAGCATCTTCTACAGACTACATACATAATATGTGTTTATTGATGTTAACAATGATGATGAAAGACAAATAGAGTTTCTTATTCTAACAATAATGAAACAAGCTAGAGACTAGCACAATTTTATTCAATATGTTTTACATAATTCTACTTTAAATAAGAAAGCTCTTATCCATCCTTCTGTTGGGTTTTTACTATTGTAGAAACTCTTTTTACTCATAGAGCTAGAAATGCTCTAAAAATCCTTAAGGCTATTATTATTCAGATTGTTTTCTGGGATTGTACAAGGAAGTAAACTAAACCTTTTGGATCATTGGCAGAGTTAATTTTTCTTTAAGAAATTCTATAATAACATACTTATATACACATATCATACACTCTCAAACACACATATGTGGGTATACTATAAGAAATCTCTACACAATTTCAAATTTGCACTGATAAGCAGTAGTCAAAAGCTGTTAATGAGCTGCTACGTTATCATAATATGGTGAAATTATACAATAATCCAGAAAACACATCACAAAACTTGTACTGAAACCCCATGAGTGTAGTTGGTAAACTTGGCATATGGCTCCAGAAAAATCTAGCCATGGATGAGACATTAAATTTGTTGAAATTAGGGGTTATGTTTTCTATTTCTTCTATAGTCCCTAAAATACTTAGGATAGCAGTGTACACAGGAACTACTCAAAACACATTTGTTGAGTTATAGTTAAACAAATAAATAATTTTTTGGTAAGGATAAGAAAAATGTGTATGAAGCCTGAAGTGAACATATAAGTAACCAATAATTACCATATACCAGAGGAAAAATGCAGAAATTATTTCAATGACCTCAACAGGTTGGTCAAAAAATTTCCTATAGGACCTATAGGAACTGGGTATAAAGCAGTAAAGAGACCCGTTCTGTCTCCAGATGTGGATACAGAGGGTGTTCTCACAGGGTAGATAACAACTTTTATTAAGGACTTACCAAGTACCAGATACCTTTCTAAGAAGGTCATCTTGTATTATCTCCTTTGATCTTTAGAACAACCCTATGATGTTAGCACCATTAGAACCCTCACTTTGCAGATGAGGAAACTGAGATACAGCAAAGTTTACAAATTTGGCACAGTTAGTTAAACAGCTTAGATTCAGGACCCAGGAACTGTGACTCCAGAGCCCTGTTGACTTAATGACTATGCTATTATTTCTCCTGTGAAGATGCAAATAATGACTTAAAGGCCAAAAAGAAAAAGAAAAAAAAATGTGTGGGAAAAGTAGAGAGAGAGAGAGAGAGAGAGAGAGAGAGAGAGAGAGAGAGAGAAGTTGTTTAAGTTGTTTTGTTTGTTTTCTGGGTGGAGCTTTGAAGGTGAAGGCAGAGAGTAGAAGGCAACAAGTTGAGACTTGCATTGGGACTGCACTCTCTGTCCCATGGCCTCTATTTGGAAAAAACTGAGGAAAATAATGTATGAGACAGGCTCATCATGTGCATATACAGCTGTCACTAAGCCATTTTGTTTCCTCAAGGGTTGCTCACTGCATGGTGGCTTCTCAGAGGCAGAGTGCCACTATTCAATACTCCTTCCAGCAATCCCAGGACAGAATTACCAGTGCCAAATAATAGAAAGCTGGCATATTTTAATCCATTCTTGACTCACTCCTTTATACACTGGAGTGGCAGGTGGAGGTCAGAGACAGCAGAAGAGAGGCAGGGAAATTATGATCTGAGAAGTGGTTTGTGGAGCTGGGTTGATGCTGAGAGTCCTGGCTTCTGAAGCAAAGGCAAAAGCAAAGATAAAAACAAACACATGAACAAAAAACCAAAACAAAAACATGTGAAAGAATTGGAGAGAAATGGGGCACCAGGAGACTAGGCGCCTGTACCAAATGGGAACCAGGTGCAACTTTAAAATAACGTGCCTGCTTTATGTGTCAACATTTGTACACTATGCTCGTACTTACATTTTCTAGTGCAATACTCTATTACCTACTCCAAACACCTAGAGTGGAAGGTAGAAATTATACTTCTTTCACAGAGAGGACTTCTGTTAACAACAAAACCAAAACGGCTTTTGAGTAGAGCTGTAGGTCATTGTGACTCGAGGATGACTGCATTTAGACAAATTTGTTTGAGACGTTAACATTGTTGGAAGGAAATGAATCAGAAAAACTTTTTAATTCATTTTAATTCCAATGATCCTGGTGGATTGTGCAGCAAATCTTAACATGCAGATCAAAATGGCTCTGGCCTAAATTTTATGAATAGACAAGGTTTCAAGGTTAAGGAGCGTATGTGTTTGTGTCCTATGGATTTAACAGAAAATGGTCCTAAAAATAATTGACAAGAGAAATCAAAGGAGCAAACACAGAACAACATTGCAAATATTTTCCCAAGTGATAATTTTTGGAAAAGTACAGAAAAAGTTCATACAATTGTTTGGTTACTTCTCTGATTATCATCATTACGTTAATCCACTTTTAACTTGCAGTTAAAAAGAAAATTAAAAATACTAACTCTTTTGACTTTTGGTAGCCTTAGCTGTAGATAAAAATATAAATGTGAACACGTTAAAAGTATATGTACAGATTTTGTGTATGTTCCTGGAGGGGAGTTTGTTTGCTGGCCAGCTCTATTTTTGACAAAGAAAAATGGGCTGCTCTTGCTTCTTGCACAAAGATTCACTGTTTCCAGAGCAAACCAACTCCCTCCCACCAAAATGGAGAACTTGTATTTAAGTTGGAAAGAAATTAAGCTAATACCAATATGATAATTTAGTTAGTATAAACTTTCTATGAACTGAGTAAAATGTGTGGCTTATTAGAATTAAAAATATAACTTTATAATAATAACTTAAAATCCTAATATCTGAAAATTTTAACTGTAAGCAAGATTCTCTAAATTTCGTTTTTAGTACCCTACAATTAAAGATATAGTTCTTTTTAAATCGATTTTGTCTATGCAGTTATACAGTATTCTAAAGTTTCCAAAAGAAATGAGTCAAAGTATTTGTGAAGTCGAGATGCCTCTGTTCCTTTCCACAGAGCTGCCATCTGGGCTTGTTTATTTGTGTTTCCAACTTTCTGGAACAGAGAGTTTCTCTATTAGGGACAGGGCACCGAGCAAAGGAAGTGTCTTACAGGAGGTTACTTTTCTTTTTTCTTTTAACTATATTTTCAAATTTTAAGTTTAGTTTGATCAAAATATCAAATAACTAGCACAATAACAAAATTTAACACAGTCAAAAACCTCAGAATTGTCTTAGCAAACAATCTTCTACAATACAAGTAATATTTCCTACATGCTACTCTCTTCTGCCTCTCAAATCTTTTTCAAAACACAAACTGTCATTAAGGCTATAGCTATTTGGCCTGGAAATCAAACCTTTTTCATGAATCTTACTATAAATAAGCATTTGATTTAAAAATGAGAGAAGTATTTCCAAGCAGTTTTCCTAATTTTATAAAGTACATATGAGCAATGTTATGAAAAACAAAACAAAACAAAAACAAAAACGAAGCAAACAAAACAAAAATCTTTCAAAATATAATTAAGAAACAAAGCATTACTGTTAGATTGATTATACAACCTGATTATGAAGAACAGCTTAAAGATTCACAAGCCAACACTTAAAAAAAATTAGTATTTGAAACATTTAACAAATAAAATAGAAGCAAAAAGTACCTTGTAAAGTAAAATCCAGCAATACGTATTCATAAGCAAATTCTGTCTTTGTTTCCACTTGCGGTCTCTTCAGGGTAGAAAATATTTTTCCAGGGCTACTATCATCAGGGTCTTCTAGTTTTCTAAGTCCGCACCCCATGGCAAAATCTGTAAGGAATTAAATTGCAGGAAAGGGGAGGGAGAGCAGCAAATTCTGTTGTATAAGCTGCGAAAAGATAGTTACAGACTTAACTGCTTTGATTTTGTTTTCAGCGAAACTATAGATACCCAGAAAGAAAACATTTGGGTCTAAAGCAATGAGCTGAAGACTTTTTCTATCCATTTTTCTGTAAAGTCACTGAACCCATGATTAAGCTACAGCTCCGGGAGGCTGGGCTTGATTTTAGAGAAACATGCAAGCTGCTACAACTTAGTGGAGAATTTCCATGCCACGTCAATTTACAGCCAGCCCCCTACCAGAGTTCTGTCGCTCAGGGCACCAACAGTGCTTTGTCTATTCCAGTTGGCTGAATGATAAAAGAGGTGTCCAAAAACGGAAATAAAAAGGCAAATGTGCAACTCGCATATAATTATCTACAAGTAGAAGATATATTCAGACACAGTGGCATTACAATTCTTTTTCTGTTTTTTCTCTTCCCTCTGTCCTGTGTCCACCCTCCTTCTTTCCTGCTACTACCAAGAAAGCAAAAGGGGTGGGGGAGAGAGAGGTGGCGGAGGAGAGAGAAAGAGAGAGAGAGAGAGTGAGAGAGAGAATGGATTCTCAACACAGTTGGAAATAAAAATTATTTCCAGAAAGGAAGTCAGCTTTATGAGAAAACTTTCTGGAGTCTAAAAGGAGAAAAGTAAAGTAAAAAACTAAAAAGCACCCTAGTCTTTAGGTAGCACTCTTGAGGATTTCTTTCCACATGAAGCTTCGTTTGCTGGAAAAACCATATGCTGATTATGCCAAGAATAAAAAAAAGATATTAAAATATTTTCATAAAAAGCCTTTACTTATTGCAAAAAAGAGACAGATATGTGGATAATTAGTTTCTTCAACATCCTTAAATAGTTTAAAACACTCTGCTACTAGATGGCTTATGATGGTAACTAACACAACACTTTTATAGGTCTCAAAGTATCCTTAATTAAAAAAAAATAAAAAACAACAGAACTCTGACAATTCATTCTCAGTGTTATAAATTGCCATTAGCTGAGGTCAAGAACAATTTATTATGGACCACTTGTAATGAGTGTTTATTTATTGCATTTCACCTTTTATAGGTCAGGTGTTACAGTGCACGTATCAAAACTGAGCCCTGGTATCAGACTGCCTGGGTTCAAATCCTGCTTCTAAGGCCTACTAGAGATGTGATCTTGGACAAATTACTTGACCTCTTCAAGTTTCAATTTCCTATCCTATAAAACGGAGTTAATAATAGTACTTACAAGCTTATTATGAAGGCTGAATGAGATAATCTTATCTCCTATCTTAACATCCCTGGCTAACAGCATGAAATACATTCTTTAATATGCCTACATTATAAAACAGAGTCAGGAGTAGTAATAGGAACAAGGTGATTCTGCCACCACTCCCATTATTTACGAAGTAATGGTCACATTTGAGAGTCTAGAGAACACAAGCCTGGGAAGATTTTTCAATCACACTGAAGAGTGCACATGAAAACTCTCAAAAGGGGGGTGGATTATTTGGTTTGTAGATCACTATCGCCTTTTGTCTCTTCCCTCTGCCTACTTGTTTTGAAATATTTTACTCCTCAGAAGTGTTTTTAATAGAGGAAAATGCCATAGTCTTTCTTGCTCAAGGATAAGCATGGTCAGTGATAATTTCTGGGTAAATTTGGCTAAAAAGGCAGCAGACTCTGACCCAGTGTGACTCATTTGACTATTTGCAGTGCTTTTGGGCCTGTCATTTTTCATGTCCTCTTTTGTATGATGGGCTATGAGCTCCTATATGGCAGAAATGGAATCTATGAAGGTCACTAGTACCTATTGCAGTGCCTGGAAGATTATTTAAGTACCCATTATATTTTTTAAGTGCCTGCTATATTCCAAGCACTGAACTACATGCCGGGTCCACAGAATGACTAAATATGACTTCCGCTTCAATGAAACTTATGGTTTAATGGGAAAGACAAGCTTATAAACAGATAATTTCAATATAACTTGAAAGATAGAAGTACACATAGGATGCGATAGACACCCACCCTATGTGTAGGATGCTATAGACACCCAGGCCTCTAATTCAGCTTGTAGGATGATATCTGAGTTGTCTTTAAGGATGAATATGTGTAAGATGGATAAAGAGAGGCAGGGAGCATATGCCAGAAGGAGAGAAAAGCATGAGCAAAGTCATGGCATAGTGAAGCCGTCTGGCATGTTCTAAGGAACATGAAGTAGTTGAGAATTACTAGAACATAAAATGTGAAAAAGACTAAGCTGTAAGGGAGGCAAGGGCTAAGCTGTAATGGGCTTTGTATGCCATACAAAGGATGTTTGGACTTTATTTTGTAGGTAACAAAGGAGAGTCAAATAATCAAATAGAATAGTCAAATGGGGAGTTTGAAGCAGATAAGTAACATCAGTTTTCATTTTAAATTGATCACTGTGGCTGCTTTGAGGAAGATGGTTTTAATTGGAGCAAGGATGGAGGGAGACCATTCAGGAGGGTAATGTAACAGACCGTTTGAGACCTGATAACTGAACAAATGAATGAATGTTGTGCATTGGTAGGTCCTTAAAGAATTTCCTTTATATTGGGAAAATAGAATAGTTTGGTCAGGGCCCTCAGCTCAGGTCCAGTTGGGTGTAGTTTTAGCACATACTTTGTAAGCAAATTGTGTGTATGTGTGTGTGTGTGTGTGTGTGTGAGGAGTTAGCGTGCATGTGTGCCAATGTATCTTTTTAGTGTTTTGCTATTCTTGTGTTCTTCAGAGAGAGAGAAAGAGAGAGAGAGAGAGAGAGACAGGAGTTTTAGTGAAGCAGGTGGGTCGGCATCTGCCTCGGGCATCCACCCTGTGTAGCCATGCTTTCCAACCTATGGCTCCAAGGACCTTTTGGCCAGTTACCTAGCTTATAGACCTGCGTGAAGGAGTCTGGTGACCCAGGCTGGTATGTGAAGAGTTTGTGACCCAGTCTGTGAACGGGCTTGAGGACCCAGCCCTAGCTCAGCAATTGGCCCAGTTAGTATGGGATTACAGGCAGGTAAAAGAGCTCGACAACTAGCGTGGTTGCCTAGCTTTGCAATTGGCTATGTCGACAGAATTCCAGACATCAGCTGTGGCTCCACACTTTACTTTTACTAAAAGGAACTACAGTTCCTTTTCTTTTTTATTTTTGGTGGCTGGCTGGCTTGAGGATCTGACCCTATGACCTTAGTATCACAAGGCTGTGGCCTAACCAACTGAGCTAACCAGCCAGCTAGAACCACAGTTCCTTAAGTTTACAATTAAGCAATCTCTTAGGCCATTCTCTCTCCAAAATCCCAATGAAATAAGAGTTTTATTTGATCCTTAATATTTCAAAAACACATTTTCATTTATCAATATGGCACACATTCCTGCTATTTTAACAATTATATGGGATTTCACTGTATTAATATAATGTTTAACAAGTAACATTTTGGTTATTTTCAAATTTTCACTGTGAAGATTTTTGTAAAGATTACTTTTCCCCCCCACTTCAGATTATTTCCTAAATACTTAGATTTGACTTAATAAATGGTCAAATAGTTTATATGCAAGGAAATCAGCTAGAAAGTAATAAGCAGAGGAGCTGGTGGATTAGCTCAGTTGTTAGAGCATGGTGTTCATAACGCCAAGGTCCAGGGTTTGATCCCTGTACTGAGTAGCCACCCCCCCCAAAAAGTAATAAACAGAGAAAATATTTGCTAATGACTAAATAATCCATTTATATTAACTATATAAATATGTGGTTAGCCATAAAGCTGTTTAAGGTATTAACATTATATATTTTGAGATTTTGTTGATTAAGTTACCACATATTTCGCCTCATGCTTCTCCAATGCCTGTACATTTTTATCCAAACACTTTCATTCAAAAATTTTTCTGCCTCTTCATTTTGTCCTTAAGAATAATTTACATTTCTTCAATAGTGTATTTCTCCTTTTGGAGCAAACATTCTAGTTTTTATTTTTATGTTTTTTCCTTTTTGTCTTTTTTTCGTGACCGGCAACGGATCGCAACCCTCAGTGTCGCGCCCGTACCGGACCGGGATCAGCAACGGGATCGCAACCCTCAGTGTCGCACCCGCACCTCGCTCAGCCAGTGAGTGGCTGGTCTGTATGTGGGATCCGAACCCTCGGCGGGAGCGTTGCCACACTCCCAAGCGGCGCACTGTAGCAGTGCGCCACCGGGCCGGCCCAAACATTCTAGTTTTTTAAAAATTAATAAACTTTATTATTTTTTTAGAGCAGTATTAGGTTCACAGCAAAATTGAGCAGAGAGTACAGAGAGTTCCTATATATCTCTTGCCCTCTACACATGCATAGCCTCCCCCACTATCAATATCCTTCACTGGAGAGGTATATTTGTTACAATTGATGAACCTATGTTGACACTTTATTATCATCCAAAGTCCATATAGTTCACTGTTGGCGTACATTCTGTGGGTTTTGACAAACATATAATGAAATGTAAATGCCATATAGTGTCATACAAAATAGTTTCACAGCCCTAAAAATTCTCTGTGTTCCACCTACTCATCCCTCTCCTACTTCTTGTCTGACTCTGATCCATCTGGAAATTGTAATATAAAGGGTAAGATATGGATCTAAGTCAGTTCTCTTCCACCCTGATATCCAACTGTCCATCCACATTTGTTTCCATAGAGGGTCTTTTACCAGTGGTGTTTTCCCAGGCTTGTCATATATGGAGTACTTGCAGTAATTAGGATACATTTTTGGAATAAATGTCTTCTAATATTGGTCGCTTTTTTTGTATTGAATTATATTTGTTTTTGCTAATGGTAGACTTCAGGGACAGCTTTGAGGTTTGTATTGTAAATGGGGTTTCCTCAAGTGCAGGTTTGTATGTGGCTAGATATGATGAAAATGTATTATCAATTATTGTCTATGCCCTAGTGTGTGCTCACTTAGTCCTTCAATGAATTAAAGAACTTTATGAAAATGTTCTCCATAATTGGCAGCATAGTATTCTGATAGTTACTAGGCTAGTTCGGATCACCTGAGTTCATCGAAATCTTAAAGCTTGTAAGAGATAATTATGTATCATCCAACTCACTCCCTACAAAGAAAAGTTTTCACGTAATAACTATTAAATCCAATCTGTTTTTTGTGGCCCTGTTCAAAGTAAATTCCACAATAATTCAGTTATTTGTGCAGTGCCTACTACATATGTAAGGCACTACATGAACACAAAGAT